ATAATATGTTCATGTTTTTCAAAGCATCAAAACCAATGTCGTTTAAAGCTAACTTTTCAACAAACCAATTTTTCAATAAAAACATTGCACGTTTTTTTTTTTGGGAATTTTTTTGTTTCTTTATACACAAGTTTTTTACTTTTTCTCTTTCCGCATCCTAAACGTTTTTATGGTACTTAATAACCGTAATTAGTAAGCAGACAAGATTGTCAAAACGATAAGTTTTTTTATCCTACATGCGTTATTATTGTTTTCATGCTGCGTTATTATGACTTCAATAACATTTTTCTCAAGTTTTCAAAATACAAGAAAACAAAAACGAAATAAAGAAAAACATAAAAAAAATGAAACAAACTAAAAATCAGCAAAACTGCCAAAGTTTTGTGAAAACTAATAAACGTTTTATGCCAATACCATCGTGCTACCGAAATCAGCCAACCAAACGAATACCGTAATGTTTACCCTTAATGGATATTCACATAAACTCTTAGTGAAACTTATTATAAAGAAAACCAACAAAGTTTTTTCTCTGGCAGTTCTTAAATTTTTCTTTTTTGCTTATTGTGGTCGATGTGCTGCTGTCAGCTAATGCTTTTGCCAAGAGCACACTGTATATACATGCACAGGCTTATACAAATACTTTTTTTCTATTAATTTTCTTGATATCTACTTTTTCTTTCTCTTTCTCTTCGTCCTACTCTTCTCCACTCTATCCACTATCAATAGTCCTTGATTGCAAGAGAACGGTGTGTGTCTTGAATATGTAACAACATAATGTGGTCGCTGATATAAGTTTTATTTTGGTCAAGAGGTTTGTTGTGCTCATAGCTAGCTCTGCTTGTCAAGGCTTCAGTTCGTATCTATACAAGGGTGCGTGTAGAATATTTTAGTTTGTAAAATATCTAAAAGATATTGTCAACTGTCATTAGTCTGCCAATGTAGATGTGCATGTGTGTTGGTGTTGTTAACCATTGGACATTTGGTGTTAGTTTGACTTATTACGGAAACTTTTTCGTTTCTGCGGACATATTTCATTGATATTCCACAGATGTCGACAAATGATTTAAGCTGGCTGTAAACCCTAGGCTTATATTCCCATTCTTTACAAGCGATTTTCTCTTTCTCTTCCATATTTCCTTTTTTTTCTGCTTGCCCTGCACACCAGTTGACTTTTGATGGTGTTAAACGAAATTCGGAAAAAGAAAATAAAAGTTTTCTATTTCGTTTTTTTTCTTGCTAGTTTAAGGGAAAAAGTTTGACACACAATTTAATTAAAGAAAATCACCCGTTTAACGTACAAAAGAAATCGTGTGTACCACAAAAAAAAAAAAAAAAAAAAATTTATGTTTTCAACGTCTCCAAACCTCGCCTCTGTACTCATAATTGGGCCAAATAAAAAAGTTAGCGTTATTTAATCAGCACAAAAACGTTATTCAATGACTGCTTGGCTATGCCTCACTGGATGTGTATAAATATGCATTTAATTAACTGAATTGTAACTTTGCACATATTAATCGGAGAAAAGATGTTTATACATCATGTTTCAGATATAAATTGATTGAAAATATTTTTGTTGGAGACAACTACATATATAACAACCGATTACACTGAAAATAAATATGAAAATTATGTTTGCCTCAGAACGCATCTTGCACATCCGCTATCAGTCATCAGTTTAATTTCATTTCGAATTTTTTTTAATAGGAGTTAAGAAAGAAAGATGCCAATGCTTATTCAATCATTGATGCTACAAGAAATGAATCATTTGAAGAAGAAAAATAGGTATTTGAAAAAACTTATATGTACTATGTAATTAAGAAAAGAACGGGGAAAGAGAAGAGAAAAATTGAAGTAATATACATATATTAGTGGCGAATTATACTGTAAAGTTGCACGTTTTTACTAGTAGATGAAAAAAAGTTGAATCTCCAAAACTTTTATTTATAATTGACTTCTCCGATATATTTCGCTATTATTTCACACTTAAGCAATTTCAAGATGTGCCAATTTCTTATACAATATCGAGAATGTTTAGAATACAAACGACTTGTGATAAAAACTTTCTAGCTATTCAAGAGAGCGGGAATTACTATATCGTACTGTTACGGAATTCACTTTTCTCGGATCCGATTCATGTTACTAGATCGTGGATACTCTTTTTAAGCGAAATATACTTGCACGTTTTTACTTCAAGATTCTTTATGTACAATGAATTTCTTTAAGGATGCGATTATTTACATTTTACTTTGGCAATACTCTCGGCTTCTCTACTCTAATATTCTTTTTCGATAATATACATGCTTAATATTTATGAACGTCGTTTCGTAACTAAAGAAGTATAAACAGGTATTTGTCCGACTTTCGTGGACTTTGGGCCAGAAAATGTAGAATGCATCAAAGGAAACGCAACATAATATCCTGGTTATTTAAGCAGGTGGCAAAAAAAGTTCTATTTTCAGCAAGCACTGCTTTTCCTATTTAATTTAAAAAGAGGAAAGTACTATTAGATAATCTGCAAAGGGAAAAAGCATGACGAAGATCAAGCGACTGGTTATAATCGACGGAAAAGGCCGTAATAGTCCGTATTTCAAGGTGAATTATGAGCAGCTTGAAATCTACGAAACCATAGATAGATGATATGCCGCTTTTTCCAAATGGAATATCAAAATTAATACACCGCCAGTGGTCAATTCGAAATTGAAAGGAGAAAATTTGTTAACATTAAACAACAACGATGCTTTGAATGTTCAAAGTTCATTGATTAAAATTATTGGAATGTATTCTGAATTAGAATGATGTGGCAGAATAAATTGTGATGACATCGTTTCTATGCAATAGATCAATTAAAAGGTTTCATGTTTTTTAAAACCTATCGAATTTTAAAATCTTATCAACAAATTGAACTCAGCTTAAGGAGGGCAGGCGAATAACTAACTAGCCTTTTCCACCATGAATTTAATTATCGTCGGCTTTTGTGTTTTTATGTTTTTTTTTTCATGCGCTATTGAAAATGCTTATATTTACGTTTATAAAAAACCCAGAAATAGTCCTCAACAAAATATTTCTTTTAATACTTGCAAAGTGCTACAAACAATCTGTTATAGCTACGAGAGAATCTCATGTGACTTTCTATAACGATTTCGGTATTCGGAGTTCGGTGATGTTGGCGGGAGACATATTTTTCTTTGCTTTCCGAAAACAGCATAGTGCTATTTACGGTGATGAATGTCAAAATTATTAAAATACTTCAGTGCGCGCGATCCCTGCAAACAAAGGTTGTTCTAATGAATGCATTGTTGGATTGTAGAATTGCTTACCTATAAGTTGTGTTTACAATATTGCGTGATTAACTTATTATGTGGCATGCGGATACCAGTATCCGAATGTCGTAAAGAAATATATAATTAGAAGATTGTTCAAAAATTTCCCCCAGACAGTCTTCCTACGTCAAATAAATTATTTTGGCAGTTATTTCGGCTTCTACCTAAAATTGGGTTAGTTTTCTGCTTAGTGTAAGCGCAAGTGGAACAAATTAATTAAGAAATTCTAGAAATTGATCGAGGCAATGAAATAAAACGAACTGCGCTGATGTATTTAGCGACTTTAACACATAGTTATCACATATAGAACAACTCATATCCCCGAAAAATAGATATAGTATGTAGATTAAAGATAAACGTAATATTGTGAGTGATATAATTACTCAATATCTTACCTAAAAATCTGACTGATGTCGGAAAATGACAAAATTCCTTATCCTATATAGAGAATGATGAACATGTTTTAATGGTGCCGAAAGAGAAATATCATCAAATCGCATCTGCTTTGGAGAACATCTATTCAAGGTAGAAACCAAAAGCATCTGGGTCTTGACCTTTTCAAAGGAAGATAAGAAATAATAGCGCCTTTTGATTATCACCTATCCTGATCGCTGCAGCATGGCTTGGCTGGCAAAATGTTGCGGAAAATGGTGGAAAACATTTTCGTTAACATATATTGTATCAATTTTTTTCAATAAATGCTTTTTTCAAGTGAAGAAACCCTCAAATCCAATGCAACCACCTAATGACTTGACCCAAGTCGAGAGTGTGCTTCTCGATAAAGTTGACCATCGGCCTAATGTACTCTGTGCTGTCCTTATGAATAAGTGTTTTTGTGGAAAAGAGATCTGTTCAGCAATAAAGTTCTTTACCAGGGACCCTCAGCTTTGCCAGCATTCTCATCTGCCTCGACTGTATTTCGAACAACACTAACGTGATTGCTTGAACTTTAATCTGCCTGCTTTGTGTAGGAACAACCTACTTGTTAGGAAATTTCCCAGTGTCCATAATGTTCTTGATTTTAAATCGCAGCTAAATACTACTCTATACTCTATACTCCATACTAAGGGGATAATAAATATATCAGCTTAGAAGATGAAGAAGAAGGACAACCATTTAAGCGAATCTCGAATTGGAATTTGAGACTATAAACAAAGAGCATGATTTTTCTTAAAAGGAAACCACGTTAAACAACAGTTAATTTTAGAAATGTGCTTAGTCATCATCAAGTTTCTTAAGTTAAAGCTTCGATCTGCGGCGTGTGAATCTTATCCACGGAAAGCAAGTAGCAAGCTGTTTAAGTAACAAGGAAGACGTTTTATAATCTTCTTCCTTATGTCACGGTTTGCCTATGTGTGCTGCGTAAACGTGGTTAGTTTTACACCTTTCTGCCACAATGTAAAATAGTCGACAACTTTGCCCATACGTTGTCAATCGCATTAAGCCGGGCTTCTAAGCCGACAAAAGCTGTAGTACATATTACAGATTTTTGCAACATAGCCGTACTTGCGTGTGTTTTGCATTATCTTAAATAACTCTTATTTTTGTGGTGGAGTTAAGGTTAATAAATAATGAATTTTGAAAAATCACGAGAAGAAAAAACATGTGCCTGCGTTCTAAACCGTCGTGAGAACAAATTTTATCCATTTAAAAAAAGTCATTTTGATATTTTCTATACAGTTCCTCCAAATATTGACGATGCTTTAACGTCAAGTGATGTTATTATACGTGAAGGAGATAATGTCACTTTAAGATGTAAAGCAAAAGGAAGCCCGGAACCTTCTATCAAATGGAAACGTGATGATGGCTTAAAAATTGTTATTAGTAAAACAATGGAAGGTGAGGAGACAAAATTTTCGAATGAAATCATTAAAAAATAAGTGCAATGAATAAATAAATATATTTAATTTCTTTTCCATACACAGTAACAGAAGTTGAGGGTGACATTCTAGAGTTGGAACGTATTTCACGTTTACATATGGGCGCCTATCTTTGTATAGCAACAAACGGTGTGCCGCCTAGTGTATCGAAAAGAATTAAAGTCAGCGTGGACTGTAAGCATTTTAAGAGATGAAAGATATATTGGATTTAGTAAGACATAAATTTCTTAAATTAGTTTCCCCTATGGTTTGGATACCGCATCAATTGGTGGGTGTACCTATGTTTTTCAATGTCACCTTAGAATGCTTTATAGAAGCTAATCCAACATCTTTGAACTATTGGACTAGAGAGAACGACCATATGATAACAGATTCGTACAAATACAAGTAAGTAGAAATAAAAAAATAAAATCTTATCTTAGTTTTTATAAATTAAAAGGCGAACGTAAAGATTTTTGTAATTAGTTTATAAAGTGATTTTGCAGAAGAAACGTTAAGAAAAAAATTTCGTGCGAAAAAATCATGTATATTAAAAAAGTACAATTAATGTTGCTAGTTGCGGCTTGGCCTTATTTGATAACAGGTCAAACTCATGGACAAGATGTTAATAAACAACAGATTGAGAATATTTTGCATGATTTAAATGCGAATATCCAGCCATGTCAAAGTTTCTTTGATTACTCTTGTTCAAATTGGAAGCAACGGCATCAAAGCGATTATTATAAAGATATCACCGGCTTAGTCGAATTAAAAATGAATAAAGTGTTGGCAGAATTTATGGAAACCCAACCAGCTAAAGCCGGGCTTAAGAGTTATTATGAGTCTTGCAAGAAAGCGGGAACTATCGAAATGGAAAAGTACCTACAAATAGTAAGACCGGGTAAAGACCTCGAGTGGCCTATTCTAGAAGAATTAAGGAATCCTAACTTAATATGGCCTAAAGAGAACTTTCAGTTATTAGAAACTCTAGCCATTTTACAAAATTATGGCTTCAATAATGTTTTAATGAACGTTGAAATCAGATGGGAAGATAATAAAAAAGTATCTATAACTTTGCAAGCTCCTGAAAAAACGGAAACTATCGATAAAAATTCTCATCTAAAATCGTTGGCTATATTGAAATTATTAGGCGTAAATACGGCACGAATTTCATCATATATGCAACAAATTACATCTATTGACAAAAGTCTTCAAGAAGTTGTGACTAACGCTGCTAATTCCAATGACGCTGTGATACCTTTAACGTTAGACGATCTAAAACAGTCTTATCCTTTACTAAATTGGGATATATTTTTCAAAACTCGACTTGAAGAAAGGCCAGAAAATCTCGAATTAAAAATTTTGCTAAAAAACTGGGAATACTTTCAAAAACTCCCAGATCATTTGAAAAATCAAGATAAAGAATTATTATGCAACTATCTGATGATAAAATTTTTGAAATTTCTCTTGCAAGACATGCCCAAAGGCCATGAAAAACTGGATTGCGTCCAAGATCTAAGGAAGAAATTTTCAATAGCAATGAATTACGTCTATCAACAAACATTACTACCCCGGTCGTTGGCAGAAAATTACAAAAAGGACATTTTCAAAATATTTACGAAAATCCAAAAAACTTTTCTAAAATATCTGAATGAAAACAGATTGAATTTACCGACTACCCAAGTGGAATTTTTAATATCAAAGTTAATGAACACAACTTTGCTTCTACCTTCCATAGCTAGCACAGATTTCATGGATAACTATTATAAATCTCTACCTCAATTCGAATCAAATAATTATGCCTTTAATCATGTAGCATATCTTAAACAACATTCTTCGAAACGATATATTATACAAGAACTCCTCTTTAACCAACAGGATCCTATACTGTCCAGTAGTTCTATACCTTACTATCATCGTTCATCCAATCAAATTATTTTACCTCATGGCTACTTACAGCTACCTATATATGATGTCAATCTTCATGCTTTGTACAAATACAGCATTTTAGGTTTTATCTTATCGCATGAGTTAATGCATGCTTTTGATTCCATCGGAATCACCTACCATTCAAATGGTTTACAACATTTAACAGGGTATTCTATATTACAGCACAAAGGATACTCAGCAACCTTGGACTGCATACACCAACAGCATGTCACTGCCAGCGTAAACGAACGTTTAGCTGATTTATTAGGCGTACGTATAGCATATGATGCTTACTTTTCCGAAAATTCTTTAGAGAAATTATTACCTGGCACTAATCTGCCTGAAAAGCGCGTATTTTTCTTGAATTTATCACAATTCTTCTGCTCTAAAATGGACATCAACTATCCCGAGCACGATGACGACAAAATGCGTCTACATGACATTCTTAAAAATTTTGAAGAATTTGTTGAAACCTTCCAATGTAGTCAAAATGATAAAATGCATCCCAAAGAAAAATGTCGCATGTGGTGATAAGTATGGGAATAAAGGCAAAAAAAAATTTTTTAATAATGCGTCGTTTTTTTATTATTAAAAGTAAATTAAGTTTTCTGTCTTGTAAATATCAAGTGTTTCATTTTAACCCTTTGTTAACGTCCTACGAACTAAGATAAACTTTAGAAAAGAAAAAAAAAAATACCGCCGTTGATTTAAACCTATGTAATTAATCCAAATTTCCAAAGCGATGCAGAAATTGCGAACCTACACCGTTTCCAAACTCGGATGATGTTTTGCTAATAATGGGCTTTTATTCGCGAATTCAGACATTGATTAGATTTAATAGCGTCCATATGTCTGTTTGTCTTACTCTAGGTTCCGTCCAGAATTGTAAGGTTCATATATTGCAGAGAAAATACTTAAGACATGTTCCCAATCGCTCTTATTCAAATTATATTGCGTTGAACTTTATTTAGAAAGCGATCGTAATTGAAAAAAATCTAAATAAAAGATATAAATTAGGCGACAAACACATTAGATTCTTTAACTTTTGATAAGATTTGCCAAATGTTAGAAATATACGTCGAGAATCTCAGAAAGTCTATACATTGTGCAGCATACAGTCTTGAGAAATGTTTACGTCTTATATTTACGACCTCAAATAATAATTTGTATTATTTTTTCTTGCCGGGTTGAGTTCGAAAATAATGCAAATCGTGTTATTGACACCTCCTTACAATTAGCCTTCCCTCTCCAAAGAAAAAAAAACTATTTAACAATTTCATGTCTGTTCCTAATTATAGATTTAAAAATACCGCAGCTCTCAGTTTAAGGCTTCAAGTTAATCCTTAAATTTTTTTTTAATAGAACCCAAATACGAAATTTACTTTCGATATTTAGCTAAATTCAAATATGTGAGGTCATATGCTATCAAATTAAAATAGTACGATGATTAAGTGACGTAGTGGAGCCCTCGCCGACTCACCTAATACAGTTCTTTAATAATCTTCGGAATCTTTATACTGTGGGAGGTCCTAATTATAGATTTATACAGACCAAAGCTGTTCCATCAAAATTATGTATCAAAGTATTATTCAGCACTAATTCAAAAAAATTAATTCCTACAAAGACTTACATTTTTTAGAAAACTCTTTGGGGAAGGTTTCAAAAAGTATTCCCGGCTTCTCTGAGTATTGCAAACTTACTATGCTCATATCTTATTGTATTTATTATATACCCATGTCATATATGGAGGTATACCATATTAATACCATGTATTGGTGAAAACGATAAAGTAACGCGAAGTCTGAATGTACAAAGTAGTCAAATTCGATGGTTTTCACCTTTCTCTGAATAGAATAACAGTTTTCCATTTAGTATTATTGAGTTATTCAATGTATACACATACATGCTAATTAGGGAACGCTCAAAACTACATTTTCGCCATCCATCGCTTTTCTTGTTTAGTTTGAGGAAACCTGCTGCCGAAGCCCCTCATATCCTAATTATCGACATTGGTCAAAAAGTGAGGTTTTTGATTTCAATGGCAAAGAGGGCCTCGAGGACCAATAAAGTTCAAAAGTTCAATCAAGGCAGGCAAGACTTGTAGGAGCTCAAACAAAGGAAAAAAATGGCTACCATACGAATTGAGTGAAAGTGCCATTTCGAACCGTTTCTTCATCTGAGTTTCATTGCTTGCCAGGCAAAAAAGTAAGGGTTTTGCGTGGGGTTTTTTGACTGGAGATGAAAAGTGGATTCACTACGACAATCCCAAAAACTCATGTGTTAGCCCAGGATAGTCATCCATATCGACCGAAGCGAAATATTCAAAAGATTTGCTCTTCATATAGTGGGATTGGCAAGGTGTACTGTATTACATCAAGAAAGGTTGTAGTTGATGGAAAAGTTGTTGATTATTATATGTTTATATATATATTGTGCCAATGTGCACTTTTGAAATGAAAATTGATCAATATAAATGCAAGCATTAAAAATATGTTATTTTATGTATCTATGCCTAACTTGATATTCTATATTATTCTTGAGATCCTGTGTCGACGATTCACATATCATAAGATTGGTTAATGCGCAATCGATTGGTTAATACTATAATGCGTTGGGCTCAAGTTAAATACTCCTACTTCCAGGATTTTGTTGATTATGAACTTTTTACATGCAACATGTTAAAAATAGTCCATTTCCTGTAAGGAATCAGATCATGTTTCCTTCAGAGCATTTCATTGTAAAATTACTGTTGCGACACGGCCGAGAACATAAGCAAATGTAGATGAAATACTCGCGCGGGCTATAAAAAATTTGTGAAATCGAACTAGTGGCTAACAACTGTTAAGAAACATATAAGATCAACCTGCAATTATTAGAAATAATTTGCTTTTTGTAAAGCTGGTGTAATTTGATTTAAACATCGAAGACTTTTATTAAAGTTTCCTTCTTTGTTATAGTTAATGCTTATGACGGGACGCCAATAAAATAAACAAATTTATGCTTCATTTATAACAAACTTAACATAATCGAATGATGTGGTAAATACACAGTCTACTAACTTTATGCATCCTCTGCTCAAGTTACCACAATGAACGCAGAATATATTCGCTAATGGAATTTACGCCTCTTTCTTCTGCGCGTACCTACTTATGTTCTAGTTTTTTTTTTTTTTTTTTTTTAAGTCATATTTACATTTCAAGTCCTTTGAGTTTTCCGTATGAAAATTTTCAATTCATTATAATTTGCCTGCCATTACGTATACTAACGTACATTTATTTATGTTCTCGGTTTACCTCTTTCAATTTAAATAGCTTTATATCTAATAACAGAAAAATCCGGAAGCTTTATTAAATTCAACCTTCAAATCCCCCGGCATCAATAGACGTCGTTATTTATCGTCGCCAAACACAAGCAACAATAATAATAACGTCTGCCATTATAAGAATCATGTTTGAAATCTCATATGCTGTGATTTGCTGTATATATACATATATATAAATGTCTGGTATTTAGTTTTCGCTTTTTTTGCATAGAATAGAAAAACTGTGCAAATACATTAAACAAAGTAAGCTTCATCCGTAGATAGAGATAGAGAATGAGAATGAATAGTTGATAAAAAAAATGATTTTGATTTAAAAATCATTTGAATAATAAAACGAAAAATCCATGTTCTTTATTCCGCTAAATGTTAATGAAAATATGAATTGAATAGAAACTGAACAAAATTAGATGATTGAAAAAAAAATAAGATCAAGAAAAAAGAGAATAACTTAGAAATAGATGATGAGATGAAAAAGCATTTTGTAAAAATTCACTCACAACCAGAAAGAAAGAAGATTAGTTACGAGCAACATGTGGTTGAACGCGGACTAAATGCAACGCTAAAAGTTTCTGCAAAAACAAAATCGTAAATTTGGAACAGAAAAAACGTTTAATAGCATAAATCTGCGGCGAACTAACAACAAGTTCAGGAAATTTGGAAAGCGCTAAAAAAAAGAAAAAAGATGCTGAAGCTAAGCATAACGCTGGGTTTATTGGCGTCTATAGTCTGGCAGACTACACCGACAAATTGCCGCCAAACACATAATCAAACATTAAACATCAATCAATTGGCTGCACTTACCATCGAACGATATATGGATGCCACAGCTAAGCCATGTGAGAATTTCTATCAATATGCCTGTGGCCGTTGGTATCAACAACACATAGATGAAATGGATTACGGTGACGTATTAGGTATGCTGGATTACGAGTTAAATAAAAAACTGGAAAATTTGTTAAGAAAAACTAGCGCAGGAAGTGAGAGAAGTCGTACAGAAGAAAACCTTACCACAACTGAAGATTCCTATATGACTACCACCATTCCAAGCTTAGATTGGAATGCTCATGACTCTTCCCTCTTGGATAAAGTGCGTACATATTATAAGTCCTGCAAAAAAGTGAAACCCTACAATTTAAAAAAATATCTACAATTAATACAACCAGGTGCCTCAACACACTGGTATATATTAGCTAAACAGGGTGGCAAAAAGTGGTATGTGGATCATTTCAGTTGGCTGGAAGCGGTTGCCAAATTGCGTTTATACGGTTTAAATGGTGTATTGTTGAAAGAACAGGTTTTGCCTCGTTGGGATGAGTCCTCGAGTATGAGTATATATCTCGACAAACCCAATTTGGCAGAAACTTCACCTATGGGTGAGGGTGTCATAATAGAATTACTTATGGATATTGGCCAAACTAAACGTGCAGCTAATGAAATCTCACGTGAAGTTACCAGATTTGAATTTCAGCTGCATAAGCTACAAGAAATCGAAGATGAGGAAGGCGCTAAAGAAATGCAATTGGGATATTTGCAAGAGTATATGCCGCAAATTGATTGGCTAGCTTATCTCAAGGAGTTGAAAGGTCCAAGCACAGATCTGTCGACCACTGTCATTATACAAAATGTACCTTATATGCGTTCTATGATAAAACTATTAAACACTGTGGAGCCTTCTACTCTTTGCAATTATATAATGCTGCGTTTTCTACTTTATCTCAAAGAACAAGGTCCAGCTGAAATATCCCGCCAAGAGTGTATAGCCAGCCTGAGGCGCGCTATGCCTTTGGGCATGAGTTATTTGATAGGTATTCAATTCTATAAAGAACCTATTAAAAATGACGCACAACTTCAGCGTATATTTCAGCAGCTTAAAGTCGCTCTCTATTTTATAATTAAAACTAATCGTTTGGAATTACCTGAGCTCATAGTACATACGCAATTGCAGAAGGTGGAGACGATGCTGTTGAGAGTGGGTTTCACTCCCCGCAACATTTCTTTAGAATACCTTGATACTTATTATGAAAGGGTGGCTTTAGATCCTAACAACTTTTACGCTAATCAATTAAGCCTTCTACGCCTATCCGTAGAACATAGCCATGAAACATTGGATGCGCAACCCAATCAAGATTTAGCCCTAGAGGAATCCGTTATATCTTCGCAATGGGTGGGGAGTTCTTCTTCCCCAGTCTACATAAAGCCGGGGAATTTAGTTATCCTTCCTTACGGATTTCTGCAGATGCCCGTTTATCATCGCAGTCTTAAGGACATCTTCAAGTACTCTCTACTTGGTTTTGCTTTGGCTCATGAAATGATGCACGGATTCGACTCCTCAGGCATTGATTACGATAACATCGGCAACATTATGGGACCTAGCGAAGAAATTTCAGCTAATCAACGTTTCATGCAAGGTCTACGTTGCATGCAAAATGAACTAGCGATTGGCAGTCGTAGTCTCAATGAGAAACTGGCCGACTATGAAGGCGTGCGTTTAGCATATACAGCCTATTTTTCCTCGCTGCAAAACAATACATCTCTACACCTGTCCTTAAAAAATCCTAATGTAAAATTGTTATCTCATTTGCGAGCAGATCAAATATTCTTTGTTAATTTTGCTCAATTTTTTTGCGGTAAAGTGCATCCGAAATTGAGGCAAACCGCTTACTTAGAACATGCCATGGATGAGTTAAGGGTTTTGCAGACGTTGGCTAATTTCGAAGAATTTGCCAGGGCTTTTAATTGTGATAGGCGTGATAAAATGCAATCGCGTCACCGATGTCGTTTATGGTGAATTATTTTAGTAAAATTTTTAGCTATGAAAATAAAATTGTTTAAGACAGAAGAAATCAGTGATTTTTAATTATGATTGAAAATAACGTCCGGCAGTTCGGACACTCTCTAGGATTATCTTCGCTTTCAAAAATGGTTCTAACTGGTTTATTAACATTTTAACTCCAATTTATCTGCAATTTACTTTAAGAAATTTAGCACCCTTCTCATCATCTCAATTAAAAATAAATTAGAAACAAATTGCAATTAACATTATACATTTAATTGCAAGTACATTGGTAAACTCTTTGAGACATTTTTTGGACCGATCACGCAGGTAGTTCTGACGAACGTTTTTGTAGCAAGTTTCCCGGTATATATAAATATAATAGACGAAAATATGGATGAATTGTTGTTTTTTCGAGAATGCTCCAGTTTCTTCTGCATTGTTGGAGTGCATATGGACAAATCGCAACCATTTTTTTAACAGTGGGTTTTTATTCGATCAAAGAATGGTCGTGTCAATTTCAGTGGTTTGATAAAGCAGGGGGATCAAAGTGATGTATTTTGGTAGAAATAGGTATATGCCGTCCGTATTTTGAAAACTACAGCCGGCAGAAATGATAATAGGTGATTGAGATGATTGAGATGATTGAGAGAATGATTATAGATGTTTGAAGGTCTTTTCACACAAGAAATAATAGCCAACAAATTTTGAAACATTATCCGTACAACCGAGCATAAAATAATTATACTGTTTTTTTGAAAGCCGAAGATTAAAAGGAATTACAATTACGTAACCAGTAGTTTTAGTGTTAACCACTAAACTAGCTTACGGATTTATACAAGTTGCTCGTCTTTAATTCTATTAACACTCGATCGTGTAAATTATTATTATTATCGCTTAGCAGTTTAATTGCAAATTCTTATAATTAGAGCAACAACGTGTATTTGAGAAACGACACTCGACTGAAAGATGCTACTTGAAAGCGACCAACCAAGTTCAATAGTATTTTCGATTTTACCCATTCAACACTTGTCTAACTAACCGATTTAGCTTATTCTTTGATTTCACTTCTCCACGTTCAGATATCGTTGCAATGTATTTTGTTAATAACTAAGCAGTGTTCTTTTCAACGCACGACTGCTTGTATGCTTTGCTATTATTCCCCCGATGTGACATTCTTTCGACCAATTGTTTTGCTTTGCTTTCTAAATTTAAATATCCTTACCTTAACATTGCACTTTATCTACAATCGGTTTCTGTTAGTGGTTTTGCAGTTTCAGTTATCTCTATTATACACATGATTACGAATTACAATTATAAGAAGTGAGGAAATATCACTAGCGACATTTCTAAGAAAGATTACAAATTTGTCCGTAACTATTCGTCAAATTAGACCAATCAAACTTTATAATTGTGCTCTGCATCAAAAAGAAAAGCTAAACGCAGAATGTGTTACAATCTTGGCTTAATTGAAAAGATACTGTTTCTAAAGCACAGCGGATGATGAACAACGTATGCTTTACTATATCCAATGACGCCTATTAGGCGAACCATTTATGTCAACAATGAACCGCACCGTTATACACAACGTTGGCGGCACTGAACTGGAATGAGCTGATTTTATCGCTGTATATTCACTAGACAGAACTCTGTCTGATCGACACTGGTTTAATATGATACCTCTCTGAGAGCATCTCTTTACTTTTTTCGACGATGGGCACATTCTAATGGAAAGACGGAGAGAATGTGTGGATAGTTATGGGCAGTATTTAAAAAAAAAGATTTTTTTATCATTCTTCTAAAATAAGCCTCATAAAAAATTATGAAGATTTACTACATCTAGCAATCAGCCAAGAACAAAGCGCTATAAAAGAGAGCACCTTTGAATTTGGAAACGGCGTCTATATAACGTGGCTTTTTCGACGTTGCACTTTCTTATCGATACAAAGGAAAGCCTTTAGTATCGTGATGAGGGATGAAAATTATGAACATTATGATATCGACGACTCAGTGTAACTGTAACGTATTATAAACTGATGTAAACCAACAATTAGGCCTGTAATTAAACATCCTATGGCGATAATATGCTAGAAAACTTGTTGATGTGCAAGGCTAAATTCGTCTATACTGCGAAAAAATTCCCCATCAAGATTTATGGTTAACAGTAGTTCAGAAGTTTTCTGATTGAATTAAATCCAATTTGAAGGTTTCAATATCAAGGTAATATTTTCAGCAATGGCCGGGATGTATGGTAGTTTTTCTCCTAACATGTACATATTCTTTATTAAATATATTCAATGAATTTTCGGCTGTTACAACAAGGACATACAAACTTTATTACGCAGACCCCTTTCGACGGACGAGTAAAAATGTTGCGTTTACTGTTTTTGACGGCTAACTAGCCACTGAAATAATTTATTTATAAATGCTCGATTGCATTGTATAAACTTTTATAAATTATTTATAAAAATTGAATGTCGACTTATGTATTTAATATTTTTATTAAAATGCGTAATAAATGCAATCTCGCAATTCGATTGGGAAACTTGTACTTGCTGCACTGATGAATAGAAGTAATAAAATATGTCAGTAGAGAAATATACGATTATGAACGTATGTAACGTGATTCAAAACAAAAATGAAATAAAATAAAGTCAAGGAAAATAAAAAGCAAGTAAAAAGCATTTGTTCTCTTCGCCTTGGCCTTCATGATTTATATTGTAGAGAAAAGGTAATAATAATAAAAGTAGGTGCGATTGCGGATTATAAAGAAGCGAAGAGGACCATTAATAGTGAAATACAGACGAAAGAATATAAATTATTATCAATCATTACGTATAATAGAAATAAAAGTATGAAAAGCTCGATATTAATTAAATTACAAAGAAACGGCAAGTAAGAGAGAGAATTATTTATATATGTCGTCCAAGAACAGGTTTAATAGTTGCAATATATTGTGCTTTATATATGTATATTTAAGCTAAATGCTTGCATGCATTTCCATTATATACTGTACAACAGCGTGGCGTATGAGTGACACACTAGTAAAACGCAATTATATATCTCTTAATGTCACAAATATGAAATCTTGGAAAATCAAAACCCATTTATTTACGTCATTCACTCAATTGATGGTATCTAAAGTAAACGTAGTAAGTAGTATAAAGGCTTACTACTTTTTAAACTACGTTATGTATCAAAATTTTGTTTTCCTTTCAGGTTATTCTCATGCTCTTAAGCGGATTTATTTACATTTCTTTTATAAGTCCTCACATACAAAACGTACATTTTGTTGAATTCTATATACTTCCAATGAAGACGAAAATATACTAAATATGTATTAGTAAGATATTTTTATTATTTAGGTAAATTTTTAAAACTTTTAAATAACCGAACCCAACCGTGAAAAAGTTGTGACCAAACCAAGTTGAATTCTGGTTTGGTTCAAAGCATTTTTCTAAAAAACGAAACAAGAAGCGAAGTTATTTATTAGCCGCAATAGTCGCTAGAAGCTAAGCGAATGAAATACATAAATAACATCTATGAGTAGAAATGCGCATAATGAGAAAATAACGACTTTGACACTATTTCACATCAAATTAAATAAAAATAAGTAAGAAAGTTATATTCGGCGGGGCCGAATCTCGCATAGTCACCACTATGCTTTTCGCATTCTACTCTCCAAGTTCTTTTCTTTGATACCCATATCGCTGGTATTATTAAGAAAATATATCTTCATTTGAGGAATGTACAAAACAGTTTTAAACATTCTGTCTTATTTTCGTTATGATAAATGAGCATAAAACCTCAAAAAAGTGAAAAAATAAAATCTAATCAATTATAACTTTGTGTGGCCACGGCCGGCTTTTTCTATTTTTGTACATAAAGATTAGAGTGTGTTGTAAAGTGAATGTGGAAAATTTCACCCTTACAACTTTTATAATTCCTGAGTAAGGAGAAAAAATTCACAAACTTTTGTTGAGAAAACCGAAGTTATGCTCCACTGTGTGCTTCTGCTCCGACCCGATTGGCCCATTTTCAATACCAACCTGCGTGCAAAAACTTCCAACTTTTCTACAAAATGGGAAGTCGGTAGCTTCACTTTTGCAACCAGGAGAGTGTTAACAACACGCACCGCACAGACACATAGACGCACAGACAAACAGACAAAGCTCAATGAATTCAAAATTTCACTCTCATCAAAAATGTATATACCTTATAGGGTCTGCGAAGCTTCCTTTTGGATGTTACGTACATCGTAAAAAAAAGCATAACCCCCTCGTACAGTAGTAGGTATTATAACTATCAGCCCTATTTGCGAATTTTGTCTGATAAAAAGTAAAGTATGATATCCAGTATGCCATTTTTGAATAATCTATAGGATCGCAATCGAACGGTTGACCCGACGAATACATCTATATCGGTTTCAGTTTTCAAGGTAATCCAAAATATATATATCTTGTGGTATCTCCGATTGATACTGATAACACATGTAAAATGATTGCAAAGTGACCGGCTTAAACAAAAGTTTGGGGATAAGTTGGGAATAAAATTGAGGATCATTTCAGGGGGTTTAACGGGTACGCGCATACGCAAACAACATATAATTTCGTCCTCAAACTTAGTCAATGGACACATTTTTCACTCATCTTTACTCATGGACCTAAGACCGCGCGTTAAGACCTAACTAGCTTTTCATAAAACCGAGTGCTGATTTAACCTTATATACGACTGATTTCACATTCAGATTTAAAGTTACTATATCATCAAAAACTCTCCGTCATGATATGATTCGCAATTTGCTCCTCGCAATCCTCTCTTTTTACCAGCTTTTCGCTTAATACAGTTATTCATATGGCGGCTTTTCAGATTAACGTGTGGTCGAAAGAATGTACCGATTCGAACTATTCTCAATAGCGTCCATTGTTGGACCGAAATATCTCGATTTCATGATAATATTTGAAACATAGCGAACTGCAGTTTGAACAGATAAATACGAGACGCACAGATGCTAGGGTGGATGAACAGACAGATACGCTAAGATTGATTGATTCAAAACATAACACTCGACCGATCGGTATAAAAAGAAGCGAGTATATCTCAAGTCCTCCTTGTGTTACATACATCTGCGAATATGAAAATGAAATAAAAACTAATTAAAAAAACATGAGCAAAAAATATTTTTTATAGGATGAATATCATAGGACGCGAGAACACACAATATACAAGAAGTGCCAAAGCTAAATGCTATCTTATTAAGTTTAAGGTTTTCTACACAGCGTACTGAATCATCTGTAATTGATTGCTGAATTTTAGCAGAAGAAGAATACAAATTGGAAACAAATTGAACGCTGCGCACGGGTATTCAGCACCGCCATTTACCACCGTGCAATTTTGTGTCCCCGAATCGAAAGCTCGAGTGACGATGAACTTACCGGGTTGCGAGTTATCGCAACAAATTTATGAAACATTTGAAACAGTGTTGAATTCTCAACAAGAGAATTTTTTTTCCGAAGAAGTAGCTCTAAGTGCTATGGAAAAAAGGGAAAAATACAAATGTTACTTGATTGGTTCAACGCTTTCTTTTAATAGCCGGCTATGTTGTCCAACTATGAAACAACAAACATTCAATTCTTGAAAATTCTTATTTAATTTTCTATTTTTCTCTTGTTCACAGATATTCTATTTCCTTGTTCGCAACTTGGTTTAATTTCTTCGTTTTTATTTTCCTTTTTCTTTTTCAATTCTTCTACATGCCGTCGCACGCACAGAACGGAAACGATATCCGGTAATCCCTCATACAAGGCCACAATGCGTCTCACAATAACAAACGTACAAAAAAGTGATTACGGCAGCTACAAGTGTGTCGCCAAAAATCCTCGCGGAGAAATGGATGGAACCATAAAACTTTACAGTAAGTCTGCTTCTCCTTTTTTATTTTTGTGTTTCCTTTAGTTGAGCACAAATTTTTTTATGTTCATCATACACATGAGTGTTGTTAACACCATATATACACCCTTCGCACGTGAAAGTGTATGCGCGTATGTATTTGTGTATACGTTGTAAAAAATCCATAAAAATTATTATCCCCTTAACGTAAAACATAGTTTTTATTTTTTTTATTTTACATAGCACTATAATTTTTATCGGCAATAAGAGTCAATTTCATGAGGAGGTGTATGCATGCATAATGCTAAGGCATATGCGTTCATCATGTAGTTGCTTAAAAGCAATTATCTTTTGTTTATATAAGAATTAGAGATTCATTTTCCAACGAGCTTGATTTTACAAATTGCTTACATGAAAATTATGCTTAGCGTCCGGATTTTTTTTTTATGTTTATCATCCAGTTATAAAGTAAGAATTTTAATTAAATTCATATTTTAAATATTTTCAAAACTTAAAGCAAGAAATGGTAATGTGTTTAAATTAATTAAAAATGTTTTATTTTTACACATTCAGGGCTTATTTATGTCATCACAAAAGTGTCAATTTATGCTACACATATAAAAGATTGAATTAGCTCTCATCTTAACGATTCTATATGTAATTTAATTTGAATAATAGCAAGAGATTAGATTCGGCTTAGAACGAGTCTGTTAATTATTTTATTGTTTGGTTTTAATGCACACGCTTAGAAAAAAGTTTGCAAGGCTTTCCAAAAAAATATTTAGCACCACCGTAAGCAATGGGCCCAATAGGGAAGTGTGTGTATGAATGTAGGCATCGGAATGTACACGACAAATGTGCACATATCTCTGTAAGGGCAAACTTACTGTTGCACAAATATTCTGGAAACGTGTTAGCCACAGAGTAAGATTTGCATGAAAATAGCTTAAGCTTAAGCAAGGAATTGATAATAGGCGCTTAAATGTATTTTGAACACCACACTTAAATTTGATAACTATGACCTTTTGCTACATAAAACAACAGTTGTCCATATAGTATTATTGAGGTATTAAGTATATATAGACGCTAATCATAGAAAGCTCAAAATTGCATTTTCGACATTCATTACTTTTGTGCACTTTTCGAAGCTTATAGTAATGCTGGTCAGTCATAACCCAATTATTGGTTTTGGTCTCAATGGTTTAAAAGTGGTGATTTTGATGTCAATTTTGATGAACCAAGTATCTCTGGACGTTTACTTGCTACGAGTAAGATGCAAAGTAATTTTTACCTTACGATCTGGCTGAAAACGCCATTTCGAACCTTTTCAATATCGTGGTTTCATTGTTTGCCAGGTAAAAAGAGAAGAGTTTTCTGCAGTGTATTGTGCCTGGCAATGAAAAGTAGGTGTACTACGATAGTTCCAAGTGTAAAACATGTCAATTGAACAAGTTGAATGACCACCAATAGTGGTTAATAGACAAAATTATGGTCCGGCATGACAACGCCCAGCGACGCGTTGCAAGAGTCGTCAAAGATATACTATTGCAGCTCAAATTGGAAGTTCTGCTGCATCCAGCATACTCACCAGACATGGCCTCTTCCGGTTTTCACTTACACCGGTACCAAAATGGGTCAATAATTGAACCGCTGCCAAACCAATAACTTTTTTTCGGCGCATTGCCATGTTGCTAGAATAGACAATTAAAAGGGTTTTTTAAGTGAAAAAATGATCAGAACACATGCAAGCACCTAATTTATAAAAATGAGGATTTCTAATCGTAATCTTTACATGTGCACCAGGAAATATATTAGAATCAGAAAAGATTGTGGGGGATAGAAATGCGAATGACAGGTCTTTTAAAATATATAAATATTCTTGATTGCTATTAAGGGCAAAAGTCTATCTAGGAACACTAGTGCCACGCAAAACTTTTCCCAGCGAAACTAACTTTAACTCTAAATTTCTTGCTTACCGTATCAACGATTCAAACTAAAGCTGTCGCTTTAAGCTTTCTGTCTACCTTTACCATATCTCGTCAGTAATCATAAATTACTAAATACGGTCTCAATATACATTTAAAGACTCGATCACATCCTAGTGAAATGTTCCTGATTTTCGAAGTTAACCTAACAAAAGTAAAAAGAAAGACTTCTTCCAGACAAAGTTCGGAACTCAATTCTATCACCAAGGAAAATCGACGGTATGAAGCAAATAGATCTGGTTATTTGTATTATTTTGAAAAATATACCTCCTACGAGGCATCCAATGCGTAGTACATACGTTTTATTCGGTATAATTCAAAACGACTTTCCATTTGGTAAATCTGCGCGCGATGTCGTCGTATTTTCCTGCTTTGTGTAAGGCAATATTCTAATTTATTTTTTTTATCTTATTGCTTTCTTATCTTGAATATTCAGTAGTCGACTTATGTTCTGAGTAGTGCGTATTTTCTGTTCGCCTGCGATGTTTTGATTGTTTCGACGTTTTTTGTATATTTAACTCGTGTCTTTTCAGTGTTTTTTGCTAAAACTGATTATCGCGTATACCGTACGTGTTTCCTCTAAATACATTAAAAAAAAAAGAAAAATAAAAAATTGAAAAGATTTTAAATTATCCTTAAAGGTTCCCAAACCTTTTCAAGTGAGTGGTTATTTCACAAATAACTAAATAATCGACAACCATAAGGGATAATGGCCCAGGGCCGCCAGATAAAAACTTGAATGGAGTTCATCTATTAGCCGACATATCCCCCCAAAGAAAAAAAATTAAAAATGCGGACTTTCCGGTGTTGCCAATCAGTAACGTCACTCTTATTGACAGAAAATATGTTGTTATTTCTTCAAATGATGCTAGCACAAAAATTTCAAAAATCAGCCCATTCGCTATAAAAAGAGCCCTAGGTAGGATTACAACATATATAGACTCTATCTCGATTCAACGTGATGGAAATTTACATGTCCTCATTGGGACATGACAAAATGAACTCAGTTAGGGGCGTAGTTTATGCCCCTTGCTTAAAGCATGCGCCGGAAGGTGAAATAGTTTGTGAAATGGGCAATCAAGGAGTGACTGAAGTCTATAAACTCACTAAATTAAATGACGACGGAAAAACCCGCTCTTTTACAGGAAGGATTATTATGACCTTTGATCGCTACCGGTTGCCGTAAACTGTTGATGTGGCTTGGTATAAATGTAAAGTGGAACTCTACATTCCAAATCCCATGAGGTGCAAAAACAGCCAATGCCCGGGTCATACGGCAAAAAGGTGCACCAGTACTCCATATTGTGCTAACTATGGTCTTCCTTCACATGCTGAAGGCTGTACACGTAGTTTCTGTTCAAATTGGAATGATCAATACTCGGCGTTATGCAAACAATGTCCACGTTTCGTACAGATGCGTGAAATTGTAAAAATCAACACAGAAAATTCCCTGTAGCAAGGGTGAGGCGGGAGGCAAATACCGGGAAATTAATCCATCTGGAACCCAAAGAATTAGCAAAAGCAATACCTACGATGTTGTCGCTTCGCGAATCGTCCCTAATAAGCCTTTAACTACGCCTTCTTCCAACGAAAAACATGTTTTACCATTAACCATAAAATGTAATGTGAAATCATTTCCTCCACCCGCCAAAGATCATATTGAAAACATCAAAACAACAGCAAACATTGTAAAAATTAAAACAACAGCACGTATCCTAAAATCTAATAAACTAAATTCCCCAGAATCAACAACTCTCGCCTCTAGTCAACAAATTTCAATTTGTAATGAAACCAATCTTTCATGCCTTAATCAACCTTCAGTTTGAGAACACTTCAGATAAGAACAAATTATTCTCGCAAAATTCCTATAGTGACCTTTTCGACGGAGACTCTGACATGTCAACTTAGTCCGCCTACCACTCCGTTTCCATGTCATTACAATTAAATAAAGTTTCTAAAATTCTACAATGGAATATTAACGGAGTTCTTAATAATTTTGATGAACTCCGTACACTCGTAAGTGATTTCAACCCAACCTTTATATCGCTTCAAGGGACCCATTCAAGGTAGAAGCTCTTTTAATCCCATTCTACCCAAATCGTATACTGGATACTTAACGAATGCTGATCAAAATTTATCTTCCAAACAAGGAATTGGTGTTTTTATAAAATCAAGTATACATCACAAACGCATAAATTTTAGCTTAAACATACAAGCCGTAGCCATACAAATAATGTTAAACATAAAATTTACAGTGCTTTCCCTCTATATCCCACCTTCGCAATCGTTTTCTCAGCAAGAACTCTACAATTTATTCTCCGTATTCGGAAATCAAAGGCACTTAGTTTCGAACTTTTTTCAAAAAGAATTCACAGAAATACATCAATGAAAGCTATCTGGAACAAAATCAACAGACTCAATGGGACTTCAAATCTGAACGAAATTTCTGCCATCTGCACCCCTATTGACACCTTAACTAACGAATATGAGATTTTTAATTAGTTTGGAAAAGTGTGGTGCGAATACTCCTCTGACAGCAACTTTTCCAATGCTTTTATCGAAAATAAAAGGATTTCAATTTCTCTTTCAGATGCTATTGGCAGACGCGCCATGTTCCTGCAAAATTGCATATTTACCTTAGAACTTGAAAGTTGTCTCTCCAAACCGAAGGGGAGGGCACCTGGCCTAGACCGCACCTCATACCAAATGATCAGTGCTCTGTCTAATTCAAGTAAAAAGAAATTGCTGGACCTATGCAATACGGTATTTTTGACTGGCCGTATACCCTACATGTGGAAACTAGAAACAGTTGTTTCAATTCCTAAGCCAAAAAATGTCACCGTCGCATCAGACCTACGCCCAAACTCTCTTTTATCTTGCCTCTCAAAAGTATTAGAGAAGATTATGGCATCTAGATTATCTTGGTTTCTTGAGTCCAAGAACCTGATTACAGAGGAACAAGTTGGTTTCAAGCGGGGTAGAGTGTACATCGACGCTCTTTTACATATCTTATTTTTTCATGAGCAAAGTAATTTCCGAACGGAATCATGTAACGATTCTCTCAATTGATTTCGAAAAAGTATTTGACAGAGTTGGTCTTCATGTTATTTTAAGACTCTTAAAATCATAGAATGTTGGATCCAAATTCTTCAACTACATCAAATCATAAATGTCGCATCTACAATCATCTCTCTGATTCCTTTCCGCTAATGAATGGTATTCCGCAAGGATCTCCTCTTTCTGTCATGCTTTTCCAGACCGCTTTCAATTATTATTAGCAAAATAATGCCGTGTACTGAGAATCGAACATGGTCTCTACACGGACGATGTATACATTTTTACAAAAGAAAAGGATAGCACGAAGGCATTCAACATCCTTGAATCTATTGGACCTGGGCAAACTCATCAGGGGATTAAATTTCTATACAAAAATCAAAAACAATTCCCATTTCTCGAAAGCAGATATACGATGCAGGAAATCTACTGAAGCACATTAATGACTTACCAGTACAAAACGTGGAGACGCTGCGTTTTCTCGAGCTCACGTTTTCCAAAAAAATATAGTTGGAGAGCACACTGTCTTCGGTTAAAAAATTCTATTTTAAGAGGGTTGAATTCAATACAGTGCCTTGCTTGGAAAAGTCATTGCGCACATTAACACTATTGGTTATCTTACCAAAATGCTTGTTTTAAGCAAAATTAACTATGCTTTGATAATTTATGGGAATAGATGCAAATCTAATATCAACATCCTTAAACCGGTCTATCACCAAGCCGTCAGAACAAGTTGTTATGCTTTTCGAACGACGCCCTTAAATAATATTGTAATTGAAACTGGCCTGTATGAGTTAAAAGCTAAAATAGTCCCCAAACTTCTTAACTCAAACAAATCCATTGCCGGTGAAGACGTGAGAAAGATTACTATTGCATGATCGAGCGGCGAAGTATGCTGCTTCTGCACCTAATCACGGATGATGTCATGGAAAAGTTGGATCTTTATTGGAAGAAAAGTCAAAGAGAAAATTACAGAAGGAAATCAACAATATCATCATCAGCACTAGTCTTTTATTAATTCTTTATATTAACTCCACTTTTATATCCAACAAATGTTGAGAAAATCAAGATGTAAACATTTTCGCCTTGGTTATACAATTGCAACTCACCAATACATCTTGAAGAAGTCTTCCCCCCCAATCTGCAATTGTGGACAAACTCTCACTATAGAGCATATTCTCAGCGACTGCCTTAACTTTTCCCTGGCTGGAAGTATTGCATTTGGAACGATTAACCCTTTTGACATTCTAAAATCAGCTTCGAATCGAATATTAATTCTATATATGACTTTATTAATACTACTAAGCTCATTATCTAATGCACATTTATTTAAATTAGAGCCGATAGCCTGTGTTGCTAGCGCTCAATGTTCTCTTTTTAGTCTAAGAATTTATTTTATTTGTCTAAAATTATAATAATAACAATGGTAATAATAATATCTTGAATATTGAATTATGTTGAACTTTTTGGCAAGATATTCACGTTCGTTTTTGCGATCAGCACCTGATGCTCGCGTCAATAAGTCTCTTTTTGGTTTTTTTCGCATTTACAGTTTTTTTCTGGCGCGCTCTTCATTTACTGTGTTTTCAATAGTGTGAAGTTTACGACTAATTTGAGAGATTATTTTTGTGTACGTGACAACCTTTTTTGTTTTTTTCTTCGTTTCATAATCTCTATCTACTTTTGGAGATGGAGTGTTTTGTTACATCCTGTCGAACAAAAACGGGTCCCGAATCTGAACGATTCATTACTTGCGAATGTGCAGGTATCAATTGCCGTGTTGCAGATGGATTCCTAGATCCGGGTCCTAGAAGTGGGATATTGACCTTTATAAGATTTCCTGAATTAAGCGAAAATCTCGTTAGTTTGTGTGGTAAGTTTGAAAACTCCAGACAATGTTCAATGAATATCGTTTTCTAGAGCGCTCATCTTGTCCTAAGCGGTATTTCAGATCCGCCATCTTATTCGTCGACTCATGTGATTGCTCCATCCTTGCCCACAAACTATGTTAGCGTTTCCGCTATCGTTAAGCCGGTAGTAAAATAATTACAAATAAGCTCTAAAATTTAAAGAGTTGACTGCACTTCGTTTGACTGTGCGTTTCACTCGCTTGAAATTCGCCGACGTCCGTCCGTCTCCCGCAAAAGCTCCCTAAGAAGTAATTTCCAGTGTAGACTGGGAAGGTTTACTGCAACGGTTATATTTTCCAGACCTGGCGCATGCGACTTATTGAGATCGATGCAGTTACACTTAGAAATTGGAAATGTGCGAAGATGGGTCGATGGCCACCAAGCCATGTCCAAGCCGTCAAGTTTTTCCGCGACCGCATTCATTAGCTAGCCGACAAAAGACATGAGACTATAGATAATGATGATGGATTGTTAGATTAATTAGCTTTGTTGGAATTATATTTTAAAAAAAGGTGAACCATATCAAAACACGGACCAAATTGTTTGTACATCCAATGTAATCGAATTTTCCATCATATTTACTGAATTCGTATATGCAACGCTTTAATTCTCGTTCTTATCTTGCCCATTCGAACATTGCAATTCAACTCTCTTGGCTCGACTCTAAGTTGTCTTCTAGAAAAATGCTGCTTATATATACCTTTACAAGCAAGTCACTATTACCTAAATTCATCGTGATATCTTTGTGTTAATCCACTTTCCGCTAAATGTATGCAAATTTTTTCCGCAGTCACGAGCTGCATCGTTATGAAGTGGAGAAGTGGAATACAGTTATTTTACATTGCAGGTGACAAATTTTTGCTACGTCTTCAAAGAATTATCAAAATTGCAAGGAAGTTTGATCACCTTGAGCAAAGCAGCTAGCCGAAAAATTAGTTTTGAACTGAAGACCTGTGTACGATTTCAGACTCAATCCACACGCTTTTGTATAACGTATAAGAGACCGCGAATACTTATAGTAAAGGAAAGGCGGATCAAATTGCATTCCGAGGATATCAAAGGATATTTTGAAGTTTCCTTTTGTGAGTTAGTTTTCGATGATACTAATATTGAATGTAGAATAATAGCAGCTTAACAAAGCATTATGTTGCTACAATATGTAAATACATTAAATAATAGATGTTTGCGTATCTACTTTTTTGAAAGAACCTATTTATTGCACCTGAAACTGAAGAAGTTAAACTGCTCCTCTCTTTAAAAGACTCAAGAATACGTATTAGAAACCTATTAGAACAAATTGACTTTTCAGAAAGTTCTTAGATAATTCAATTATATGTGCCACGTTGTCCATTTGTCTGTTGCGTTATGTTATTAAAAATCCTAGGAGGAAGAGTGAGATATAAATCTTAAACGGGCATACTATAAGTTAATTGTCTCAGATAAAATTTCAAAGCGGATCTCAACCATCTCAAACCCCCCCGAAATTAACGAAAGGCTTTAACTTTTAGTAAAAATCGATCAAAATATTAGTGCAAATATTTCGCGTATAAAATTGATTCGAAAATAAAATCTTATACGAAATTAGCATTGTTCGAATGTCATAGATACTGGCTTACTAAAAAATGTAATCAATTCGAATGACAACCGATAAATGTATATGATTTAATAAAAAATCGAACCAAATCATCAAATCGTCAAATCAAACCATGGAAAGAAGAGAAAACTGAAAATGAAACTTAAGGAGAAAAATTTTATAAATCAAAATTATCAAATTAAACATCTTTAGCATATCCTATGTATAAACGTTCTCATTTAATATATTTGTATACAGTGTTATATAAATAAATAAATTCGTTCTTTTCCTTCCTTCAACAATAGAATATATTTTATGTAACTTTTTGCTTACACGTAGACACATATATTTAGTTTTATTTATTTGGTGTGACTGTAGTAAACTAACTGGAATTTTCATGTAACATTCTATCAAAAGCCGGCGAAAGAAATGAAAAAAAAAATACTTGCAAACGTATTGTATATTTTGTTGATATCATCAGAATCTGGCGACACTTAACTTTTGCACTAAAAAAAAAAACTTATTTACGCTAAACGAGATAACAAATGAAAAAATGCACAAATGCGTGTATATATGCTGTTTATAACATATAGTATATAAATTTATCATACAACTAATCGTAGAATAAACATTAGCTTGAATATACAAGAAAAAACAAATAAAATCATTTGTGTTCGTGTGCGTGTCTGTGTGTGTGTTTTTTTTTTTTTGCTGCATCACAATAAGTGACCCATAGAAATTCGATACGTGTGTTTCGTCGTTTCTTTCTCTTACCCTTCGCCGTTTGCTGCATAAGCACAGAGTTAAAAAACATTTTTTCCCCCTTTAGCAATTTTTACGAGGCAGTTTCGATGTTGAACACACAGCACATTTTAAATCCCATTAATGATGCCCTGCAAATAGCATAAGTTTGCTATCACAACATATTATACCAGTAGTAGTACAAGCAGTCACGCAAATTTATTACCCGTAAAGTATGCCATGTAAAAAAATAATACATTCATCAATAATTGGCCGGAATATTTTGTGATTGCAACAATTTTGCCTGAATATACAGGAAAATAACAATAATAATAAAAATAATAAAATATTAAATTGGAAGTAAGTTAAATGTTATGGTAAATTATTTATTATATCTGTGGCGGGAATATCTTTATGAATATGACTAATAAGACACAATTATTTATCACAACCTTATCAGTTTTAATATCATTTAATACACAATTCAAATCGGTTTGATTCGATTCCTCCCTGTTTATAATAAAGTTTTAAAAAAAAAAAAAATCTTTTTAATTTAATATAAAATTGTACCTTTCTTAAATGACATATTTTTTTAGTGTCAAGTCCACCTACAACGTTGCCTCCGCCCACTACAACAACCTTACATACAACGGCAATAACATCGGCTTGGAACGAAAATGAAAGAGCAATTAATGGCATCGGGCCAACACATTCAGTTATTGTCATTGATAAATGTAAGTTTTTTTTCTATTCCTGCTTTGCTCCTTTGCTCCTTTCCTTATCTTCCATATATATATATTTAGAATGCATATTTATATTCCTCATCTTTAACAGGATGTACTTTGCGATATTTAATCTTCAAATTATTTAATTTAGCAAAAATAATTCAAAAGTTCAACGAAAGTTCTGACCATCAGCTCTAATTAATCTTTATAGCTTGACCTCTACTCCTTATTTTATCTTTTTACTGAACGCATGCATGAACTACATGCTCAATATATGTTATTGGAAGATTTCAAGTTTAAGCATCATTACCGTTCAACGCTTATAATGGATAGAACTTTCACATTTCTAGTAAAGATCTATGGGCAAGCCCATGCTTCAAAATCCGATCGTTTTAAACGTGCAGTATGGGCAATACTTCCCCATAAATCGATCACTCATGGAAACGCAAGGAGACCAGCAATGGGCTTCGTTAATCGTTTCATTAAATTGAGTTATCTCGAGGTGTCGCTCCGTCCTTTTCTTCTCTTGGGTGAATCGTATTACGCTCATTGGCCCGTCCCTATTTAGAGCAATCAAGCTATCGTCAAGACAATCGGAAATAAGTTGTTATGTTACAATTAGATAAATAAACGAACGGTTAAATTCAGCTCGGCAATCGAGCTGCTTTCTTTTTTGAAAGCGCGCAACTTTGCGACGATCGTGAAAGCAAGATTTAAAACGCTGCAGCGTTATTATATTTAGTATCAGAAGCTAGTGTTACTATATAACTGGAGCACATTGGTCGATTAACCAATCTATGCTAAATTCTGGGAGTAGAGCAACTAACTGCGGTGCACCGTTCTGTCGTGTAGAGAATATATATCATCAGGGGGCTTCTAAAATTTTCGAACTTTACTAAACGAACACTGTACCCATGCAATGGAATAAAAAATCGCCTAACCGTCTGTCGGGTCCAAAAGTATGCACAATTATTATTAAAATAAGTGTTATCTACATATAAATATAGTGAACGTGGTATATGTATACAAAATAAGATAAATTTTCAAGTTAAATTTCGCGGGTATATCGAATATCAAAAATATTTTTTTTCCAAATTGGTAGCACTGTAGGAGACATATGTGTCAACTTTCACATCATAAATGTCAGCAGTGGCTAAGCTGCTCTTAGTTTCGTACGACTCAAAAAGTATATTTCCCAATTTTTGCAATTTGTCACTTTGTTGAAAATAATCAAAACTTGGATCTACGAATTCGACCTGGAAAGCGCCGACCATTCGCGTGAATATCGTGCAGAGGATGTATTATTATATATACATATAAAAAAGAGAATTATAAATTGGAAGTTTTGTTGGATTATTGTGATTTTTTTTTTTTAATATGCGAAATTATCCGGGGGCGTCACCTATACATCCGATACGGGACGATCAAAATGAAGCGAGGAAGACGTGAGAGAGAGAGGCCGCAGTCTGTGGTCTCCATGGCCAAATCAGAAAAGCTTATAACTTCATTACTGACTTGGTAGTTGCGATTCTTATCCATCCGTCTAGTCAAGGAATATATTTGTTTCTCGAAAACCTTCTTAAAAAACCACCTAACAGCGCTCGGGGTTATTCGCTCGAGTAGACTGCGGAATATTCTCGCAACGCAAAATACCCGTTATTGTAGATTGTGGCATGAAATTTAATGCCGCCAACTAATTTTTGGGTTTTGGCGAGTATAATTTAAATCTGGAAGTCTCAATATCTGTATTCTGATATAGTATTTCACGTACCCTTTTACACTGCAACATGAAATTCTTTCTCAGGGATTGGCATTAGTGCTGTAAGCGAAAAGCTCGATTCCCCAAAGAAACGATAGCGCGTAGCTCTTTGTCACATTACACCTCCACAATAGTGCACCCGTTTTATATAGACTAACTCAAAAATTTTATTATAGACATAGGAGCCCTAACATAAAACGAACAATCAGTTTCGAAACTATGAAAAGTAAACTCGGTTGCTATAGGAAGTTTTGACAGAAAATTTTCTAAACAGAAACATATTACGTAATGGTACAAAACGGAGTATAGGAATCTTGGAATAAATCTCGATGTTCGCACTAAACCACAGCAAAAACTTTCAGCCTTTATGTGTGCTATAAATTAAGAAAAGCTTCTTTCCTTTATGTTCATAACACTGACTTGTACTTGAAAGACAAAGTTACATTAAGCGCAACGAGTTATGTTATGTATAAGTTCTTAAGCGATGCAGTGTAAAACAGTTTCTCTGAACTATGGTATATGAAAAAATTATAATGTGAAATGGACGCTCTGCGAACTCTTCGGACTTTGAATTATATTTCTATGTTTAAGATTATAACGTAAAGTTCAAGGGGCATCTCATGGGTATGTTTAGGGTCACATTTAAATTGTATCTAGCTATGCTTTGCTTTTGTATATATGTATCCGCAATTTCTATTTACTTGTTACTTAGCTAATTAAATTCTTCAAACTCCGATTTTTCATTTTATATAAAGTTAATGATTGATTCCCTTTCTTGTTTTACTTTAGTGGGAACCAAGTACCAGTCAAATTTAAATGAAATTGATAAATCCGAACAAAAATTGATGGGCCAATCTCCCAAAGGTTATGATTGGTCGAAGGACAAGCGTATATCATCTTCTTCATCGTCAACATCGTATTCTCTTCGATTTTCAATACATGTATTAACAATCCATTGTTGTTTAAGCTGGACTTGCATAAGGTTAATACTAATACCGCCATTGCAAACGTAAAACTTAGCAGAATACTTGCACTGAATTTCGAGCTTTTTATAATCAGAAAAATATATACGTTAGAATATTTAAAGAGTTAAAACAAAAACAAAAAACAGCAAACAACAAAAGACAGGTATAATAAGCATTCTTGGTATACATGCGTACACTTAACTAAATATAGAGAAGTAAGCAAAACATAAAGTTTGAAAAAGTGCCAACAATATAACATTACAGTTACATATAAATAAATTGTAAGAAAAACGGAAACTAGAAGGAAAAAACCGTATAACAAAAGATATTTGTTTTATAAACATTATAGCAAATAATAAAAAAAATTGAAAAAATAAAGTTGTATTCGCCATATGGCGAATCGTTGCTGCCCACCACCTAAAACCAACACGTCACAACAAAAGATATTTTTCAAGTGCGGGCAAGTCGATCAGAATTTTTTTACACTAACTTTTCAGATTCAATTTAGTTCGGTAAAGAACGACAACTTTTTTTACAATTAGTAAAGATTTCATTTAAGTTATTTGTTTTCTGTGATTGTAGAGGACTCACTGAACTGAAATTGTTCTAATAAATAATTCAAAAAGTTTTAAACTAATTTTTAGTAAGGATTTTGAGGGAGTTTTTTGCCTTTAGTGGAAATGGATGTAGGTGAACCACGCCCATTTTCAAACTACGGCGACAACAACAGGCGACAAAAAGATGTTCGGATACACAGATCCAAGATCGCTGCAAATTCTTACACTTCTTACACCGTAATCGATGAGATCGATAATGCGTTTATCTAGCTGTCACAAATGATACCATAATCTTGTGCAACTCTTCCTTTCGTGGTGGGTATTGAATCAAAATTGATCAAAAAAAATGTCGCTTTTGAAAAATTAAGATATATATACATAAATTCCGCTTACAAATGCACATTAATAGATATACGTAAATGTAATTGAATTGTTTTTGTAAATAGTTTCCACGAAAAGGTTTTTTTTTTAATTTTTAATGTTTAGCTAAAAGCAAAAACTTATGACCCCACCATATTATTTGTAAAACTAAGCGCATCAGGGGAGTAAAGAAAATAGTTTCCACTTAGTCTTTAATGATATTTTGTTACATATGGCCTTTTAAAAATAATTAACATTTTATACAGGTATATGTATGTGAACGTTAACAAGAAAACATGTCCTATAAGTCTACGCCGTTGAATAGGTCTAGTTATGCAAAAGATCGATCGTTGGCATCATAACATTCCCTCTTCTGCTTCATGTTCGGATTGTACTTCTTTTTCTCTCCATAAAAAATACTTTAAATTTATAAAATTTATTTATTTTTTGGAGCAAATAAAAGGCAGTGTTCCCCAAATATATCAGATCTATTTTCCTGAATTTTAATATGTAACATTTAAAGAAATTGAATAAGACATTTCCCTATTGTTTATGTCTAGATTTAAAAGTATTTGATTAGAAACATTCTTTTCACATTCCAAAAAATTGGTACAACTTTTCGTTTTATGGCAATTGGAATGTGGTTATAATACTTCCAGGGTTTTTTTTTTATAATTGCGCTCGCGCGAGTTAATACAAAAATTAACAGTGGTGAGAGAGAGAGAGAAAAAAAAAGAGAGATATTACTGCTTGGGAATACCACATTCGCCCCAAACCTAATTGGTCTAAGCACAATCGCTCAGAAAGCGGTAATAATGTGTCTCTGCCAAGCGATGATAAAGCCAGCTTCTTATCTTCTTATGCTCTTTTCGTATTCTGACGGAAAAAATACCATAGTTATACTGTACTCTTCAGCAGTTCGCTGATCGTTTTTTTTTGTAATAAATGAGTACATAAAGAGAAAATTTATAAAAATTCAAGGAGAATGTAAAAGAGAAGGATGTAGAAAATGGAAGACAACATAATTGCAACGTTTTCATTCAATTCTGTAAAAAAAAAACAAAGGTGGGCCACAAAAAGAATTGTACTTTTTATTTATGTAAGGAATAGGAATTGTTATATTAAAATAATTTCTTTAATAAGCTATATGCAAAATGTTCCATTTTCTAATCCTACCTTCTTTTAACTATTTCGCATTTCATATTGTTATCGTAAGTTAAAAATCCTCTTTTAAATCAAAACTGATGAAAAAAGATTTTGTCATACTTGTCAAACTCAGTGCTTTCTTTTATAACTGGTAAACGTCAGAACGTCAGAATACGGCTGAATACTTGATGCTTTAGAAAAAGTTTTGAGAAATCGACAAACCATGGAAAATGATTTGTTTTCAATGCAAATCAAGAAGGTATAGGGGTTTTGAATTTTTTAGTGCACAACTTCTTCATGTTTAATACGTCCTTCGTGGTGGGTATATAAATATTAATTAAAGTAATATTGAAAAACAAAAAAAAAACGTTTTGTTTAATTTTGTAAATATTGCATTAGATGATATAAATAAATTATCAAATGTTGAAATATTTTATTGTAAATTAAAAAATTATTTATTTAACGCCAATAATGTTAGTAACACATGCACGCATTCATTATCAAACAATTCGATTGCGTAGAGTGTTATTAAAAAAAAAAGAAAAAAAAAACAATAAACAAATATAAATATATCTCAAACAACTATAAACGATTAGATTGGACGAATCTCTTAATACCAACAACTGATATATATACCAATCCCGTATATTGCATACTGCAATATCGCAAACGACATATTTATGAGAACATAATCCTATACAAATGTAGCGTTGCATAAATGGAAAATTTTTCCCAAAGTGTATGAACTATAAGCCGTAAAAGCTTGCTACGGGGCATATACGTTAGTAGCTATTTTAGGCGTCCAAAGAATATCAGAAGGTCATGCAATATAAAACAACATGCGGTCTCTTGCTGGCAGCATTAATATTTCTTTGCTATTTGGAGGATTGTGCCCTGAGCTCACTCTTTCTTCTTTTAAGGCTTTAAATTGTCAAGAAAATGATTAAAACCGATTTTAATTTAATCCTTTTTGTACCAGATAATTAACGGTTTATTTACGAATCTTTATAATAATCAAATATCATCTAGTAAACCCTGCGCGTTTCTCAACGATTTAGTTATGCTTTTGCAAAAACTTGTGAAATATCAGTTAAGCAGATGAAATCCCATTATTTACATTTTTAGTTTCTAATGAAACTATGGTAATTTCAGACATAATATATACAATATAGTCGAGATGTGGTCGCCATCACTTTGCGGAGTCGTTGAAACGTACAAATTATTGAAATCAAGTTCGATCAACGACGACATTTCGAGATTTCTATAAAAAATATTCCGCAAAAAATATATACATGTAGATTTCCCACTAAATTTCGACACACTTTTAACAAATAATTTTAATTTATTTAAAAATAATTGAAGCGAAAAAAATTGTACATGTTGCATTTTTCAGAAATCGAAACAATCTTTAGCAATATAAAAATTAGTACAAACAACGTTAGGGGCCTTGCCACCATTAACAACGGAAAGTACTTTTTTGTAGAATAAATGTTATCCGGATAAAATTGATGAATGCGTTAATATGGAAGGATTCGTTGACATATGAATATGAAAATATAAAAAACTCAGTAGCATTCAGTGAAACTTCTTTGCCCAACGACGTTGAATAAGCTGATCGATATGTTCTACAGAACAATACACAGATGAATTTTACTGCCAAACACGATCAGAACGTATGCAAATACAAAGAAGCAAACACAAGAATAAAAAGTTCAAAAACTCATTGTATCAAAATAAACGAGTGGTAATGAATAGAGCTTTGTAACGCAGCAACAAATGCCGAAAATAATCCAGCGATCCGGGATGGTGGAGTTATATGTTATATAGAAAATAGATGAATTTTTGGCTGAAAATACTGTTACAACGAGGTACAGAGCCGTATCCTCCAACCGAGAGAAGAACTGATTCATAAAATATGTCAAAAGAAACATAAAAGTACTGAAAAAACAAACTTGAATAAAGCAATGATGATTGATGTAAAAGCGATGAAACTTTTCTTACTTGGAATCCATGCATAGTTTTACCGCTGTATCGATAAATAATATTCCATTCAATACGTACCACCGATTAATTTTAAGACGCATTAAGCTATAAGTTCTTCTTTTGATTAATTATAAAAGCGTGCCAAATGTGACGAAAGAGTCCCTATGGTCCGGATTGCCTTTCGAGGCAACTAATTCAATTTCATGTTTACAAACTCGGCGAACAGTTTTAGTCACGATGCTTAACAGTAACAATGCGATTGAAGTAACTTGTAGCAGTTATATCCAAAAACTTCGTTATTCGCAGTTACTTGCGACTAATCAAGCTTGTATACTATAAAATTGTCCAAGCAACGCCTTATCGAAAAAAAGAGAGCTACTTTACTAGAAAATTGAGAATAGTTCAAGTTCTACTCATTATACGCAATACGAACTTTCTTCATTGCAAAGTAATGTGAATGTGTGTGCACATATATGTATATAAATATTCATTTACACATGTTTCTTTCTATGTATACATACACATATATACGTTTGTATTTTAATGCGTATGGTCTCCAAAGCGTATCTTTTCACTTGGCCATCCGACAAATCTAATATACTTACTGCCATAGGTAATAAATAGGTAAACAAACTTAAATAAACAAAAACAAACTAAAGCAAACAACTAAGTCCGAGAACAATCTCTACAAAAAAAAGGAACTTTATTTAGCTTATCGGACCGAGTAAACCTCATAACCGTTTCACTTGTTGTTTGCATACACAATTACTAAATTTATCAAACAACATAAAAGAAAAAAATGTTTGATTATTTTTTATTTCTATTTTAGTTTACAAAGTGTTTTAATAAATTAATAAAATATATTGAATTGTTTTTTATTAAACGGCAAACTTACAAATACAACAGAAATCCATAATCCCACAAAGCAACAGTTACAACAACAACGTAATAATGTTTTAAATTAAAGCACATTGATAACAAGAGTAATTTATACAAAAATGTTAAAGTAAATAAAGGCATATAAAAAAAGCCAAAGGACAGAAAATTGAATATTCATAAAATGTTTACAGGAAAAGTATTAAATTAAAACAAAAAAAAATTAAAAATGTAATAAAAATAATAAGAACAAATGTATATTCAAGTTCTAACGAATTTCGGATGCTTAACGCATTAGTTAAGCATCAATGAATCACTTACTTTTATATCGATCAGTAGGATATCAATAGCAATACTTAGTAGCCGATATTCTGCATGCAACCCATTGATTTCAAAAACCGCTACATAGGTAGATGGACAACGAGTCCTTGTTTACCTATTATCAAAACTTCTGGTGTCTGCAAGACACACTTTCTATTTCTATAAATGTCAGCATATTTTTCTCAAATGCACAAACTAACAAAGTACGTTTGCCATCGAGCAGCATTTGAAAGTCGCATGAAGAGCAAATTAAATTATTTAGGCGCAGAAGGCAGAATTACGTAGACTAAGCGTTGAGCTTAAGTATAAATTCCTTATATACAAACATTTGTTTATATCTTTACAAGTTAAATGATTGAATTGAATATAAGAAGATTAAGCTTATTGAACATCTATCACGGTTAAGTACTGCAAGTTTAAAAAATAAATGTCATATCTTCAATTTACGAGTTTGCGGGTTAGCTGCTAATTGACTGCGCCTTTGAATTTAAAATTCTTTTTCTACGAGGAGAAATTGTTTTTGCCAGTTAGTCGATACGTGAAAAAAAATGCAATAAAATTTGCAAAACATTTGACAAAGGCCGGAAGATTTATTTCATAACGTAAAAAGCATGTTTCTTTAGAAAAATTAGCAGAAGTCAAGCAATGCAAAATCTAATGAGTGAATAACTTTCCCGTTGCCCAAGAGCATTGAGAGCAGATGCATTGCGTGTACGAAAAATAAATTTTTTTGTTATCACATGATCGCTTTTTTTCTTATCAATTTTCTACACATACGATTGTAAAAAATATAGTTGCAATGCTACCTTTCTTTGTTGCAAAATAAACCGCTTATGGCTTTTGTTTTAATCGACGTATTGTTTCTAACACAGTTTTCAAACCTAAACAATTCATCGCACAAAAATTTTTGGATTCATGTTTTAAAAGTAATTTCACGTTCACTTTTTTTGCGGCCCGTCTCTTATTTCGAGTATTTCCGTCAAGTTTGGTTAGCATGCAAGTAGTAACATAACAACTAATAGGTTAGTGCATAATTATCAGTTAAACGATATTATCAGGCGTTTTTGAACACTGTTTATCCTGGAAAAAGGAAACATAAAAATTCAAGAGCGACAGTTTTAAATGATTAATCCGAAGTGTAGTCACCATCTACTTCAATGACTTCCCAAGCTTTTTAATATGAATTGATGATGAATTAATATAAGTACGATATTAATTGCACGAGTATAGTAAAATTTGCCAAGATTTTCCTAAATGATATTAAATACGTGTTGTTAGAAGCAGTTTTATGATCTTATTGTTATATACGAAAACATAAGGAGAAGAAGAAGAAAGAAAGGAAGAGTACCGTATTCTAGAGGCACTAGCTGTTAACGACTATATTAATTGAACAGTTACATCTTTCGCCGACGTTTTGCTAAACGAACTGGCAAGCGGACATGTAGAAGACTAATTAAAGCATGATAAGCGACGATGCGTTTGTTGCACCGGTGCAAAATAGATTATCGAGAAAAAGCTAAAATGAATAAATAAGTTCATTTTGCTGGCTACCTACGTGCGGTATATGCGCTGTAAGGTTTGTTATGAAGGACATAAATAATAATCAACATGTCGCGAAATCGAAATTTGCGATTTCTGAAAATGCTGTCGTGAGAGTATGCCTTTTAGCCACTTAAAGAGAAACCACACATGCAATGGATGTGTAAACTAACAATAGCATTTTAGCAATCAAGCATTTGCCGTGTTCGCCTGATTTAGCATCGGATTGTTTCACACAAGCAGTATGGCGATGCGATAGCTGTGCAAAAAGTATTCACCGATATAGTAAACATACTGTCACTTGCACTGGTGTATTTCGGTCTTCATATATCTGATCGGTATTTATGTTTTCAATCAGAGTCAAATGAAGGTCCACCTTTTCGTCTCGGACAGAAAATAGATGTCACCATTATATTGTGTGATTTAAAAAAAAATTCTGTTTATATTTTAGAAAGTGTCTTACATTTTATACAGTACGATGAATACGTTCATAAAGGTATACAAAATACTTAGCTCACCCTTAGCGGTAAGTATAATTAATGTTTTGGAAATATTGCGTTTAAATATATTTCATGGGAGTAAATAGTAGTGCAAGCAGCGCCCCGAGGATAAAACTCTTAAAAACAAAGCATGGTGAGATGACCTCAGTTAGCTTTATAATGCTCCGT